GAGGGATGATGGATGGATGGATGGATGGACAGATGGATGCATGGATGGATAGATGGATAGATAGATGGATGCATGGACGGACAGATGAATGAAACTTGCAGAGGGAAGTGATCTCTTTTCTGTTGTTTTCTCTTCCTTTTTCTTCTTCCCTTTTTTGTTTTTGGAGGCAGAATTAACCCTTGGCTTCAGGCTGGTCACCTTGTGCCTGCTCCACTGTCAACCCCTATGATACATGCGTTCTGCCTGGGTTGGCATCCCCTCTGCGTGGAGTGGGGATGAGGTTAAAGGAGCAGGTTACTTGGGTACAATCTTTAAGCCAATGAAATGTCAGGCAGCATTTCGTAGAGGTCATTGTGACCTTGTCAACAACCGCTCAATCATCTCAGTCGTGCCCCTTCCTTTAATGTGGTGTCAAAACTCAGAGAAGCTGAGTAAAGAGGATACCTGTCCCTCAGGAGGACAGTGCCCTCTCCACTCCAGACATTTATGCACCCACTCCCACACCCACACCCACACCTGCATGCACCAGGCACCCACTCCCACACCCACCGAGCACCCACAGCACACACCTGCTGGCGTTTGGGGGTTGGCAGCCGGGAGGCTGCTGGGGCCGTACAGGTCTTCAAACATAACTCACTCTCTCTCCTTCTGTGTCTGTTTTAGTTACAGGAACTTGGTCAGTTTAAAGGATTTAATAAGTCCGTGGAAAATTTGTTTCTGTCTGTTACCACCCACATGAAAAGTAAGTGGATGCCTCTTCCCATGTTCTTCCCAGCATTACCCGTGCCCCCAAGGCCCAGGCCGAGGCTGGACAGGGCCCCTCTCTCTGCCTCTGGCTTCTGGGGAAAGCCAGGGCCCCTGGTCCTGCACCCTCCACCCGCAGAGCAGGCCTCTGGGTCCCTGGGGAAGAGGACCCTCCAGTTTGCCAGAGGCTCCCCTTCTCCCATCCTGGGCAGACCTGCCCAGCAGCGCCCGGGGCCAAGGAGCTAGCTGGTGGAATGGGGAGGAGGTTAAAGGAGCAGGTTGCTTGGGTACAGTCTTTAAGCCAATGATAAGCTGGTACTCATCCTCGCTCCTGCCAAGGACCAACACGAAAACTGAGAGAGATGGTCCAGAGCACCCAGAACCGGAGCCCCTCAGGCGGGCGGGGCCCTGGCCTGCCTGCCTGCAGTGCGTGTCTGGTCTCCTGTTCTCCTGGGTAAATTATGTTCTTCGATTAGCAGTAATCATGCTCCCTGCAAGGAACCCAGCCTGCTGCTTAGAAGTTCTGTTCTGTCAATGTTTTTTCTGCTCAGATATTTCTTCCTGTTTATCTTAAAATACATCCAAGAGCAGGCCAGGTCTCAGCCTCCCGAGGTGCCCGGGGCAGGCCAGGCGTCTGGGGGAGGCTCCTGGGGCTGGGGAACCCCAGTCCATTCTCTCACTGCTGCCTGGCCCCGCCCCGCGTCCTCTCTCTGCAGCGGCATGTGCTGGTCTCCGTGTGGTACCTGGCCCGAGACAAGCTTATCGTTTTAATTATTCCTCTGTACTTCCCATGAGCCCTGCTGAGCTGTGGCCCAAAGACAATCAAGTAAAAGCCGCTTTCAGATCCGCACAGAAGTGACTGTGCCATGTGACAGTCTGTCCCCCTCCGCTCAGAACGGGGAGCAGCCGATTTCATGGCCTTTTGCTAATAGAGCTTGGAGGTTTCAAAACACCCTGTCACTCAGCCAGGCTCTGGGGCGCCAGAGGGGCTCCCCTCCCACGGACACTGACGCAGCGGACTTCTCTGCTTTCTTTCTTTTTCTTTTTTTAGTATATTTTTATTGATTTCAGAGGAAGGGAGAGGGAGAGAGATAGAAACATCAATGATGGAAGAGGATCATTGACCGGCTGCCTCCTGCACACCCCCTACTTGGGGGATGGAGCCCCAAACCTGGGCATGTGTCCTAACCAGGAATCAGACAGTGACCTCCTGGTTCACAGGTTGATACCCAACCACTGAGCCACACTGGCTGGGCTCTGCAGTCTTCTCAGATGCACAGCCTCTCCCCAAATCCTGTGGCTTATGTGACCCCTCCCCCACTGCCACTCTGGACACCCCTCAGTGTTGATTCGGTCTCTGCTGCCCCTCAGCCCGACCCCCGAAGAGGCAGGATCACAGTTCGTCTTGTCCAGCCACATGGCCCTCCTGTGGGACCACATGCGGGCACCTTGGGCGGGCTCACGCCCCACAGCTGCCCGATCATGTGTCACACGTTTGAGACTTGCCAGTTTAGTGCCCATGTGGCCAGGTCATCGTTATAGGGCAGCAGACCCAGGCGGACGCTAGAGCAACCCCTGGGGGACTCAAGCAGCTCCGGTCTCTGCCCCCGGAACATGGACTGAAACCCCTGACCCGCACCCCCTCCCCCTGTCCCGGCACCTCTGCTCACAGGACCCTGAGCCCTCACCCTGAGGCAGGGACACAACACCCAGTTTCCTGACTCCCCGGGGATGCCCGTCCACCAAGCCCCTTCCCTGTCTGGCGGCTTTTGGCTTTGGTGTTTCTCCTGCTTTGGGCTATGCGACCACACCTTTGTCAATTCTCTTGGCTGCCCGCTTCCTACAGAAGTGCCAAGGGAGGGCAGCCCGTTCTGGTGGCGCAGGGGCCTGGGGTCCGGGGGAGGTGGTGGCCTGAAGTTGCAGCTCCAGAATGACAGCCTCTGGCGGCTGCTGCTGCCCAGTGACGCCCGCCCCACAGGCAGGAAGAAATGAGTCACTCCGCCTGCTCTATGGTCACTGCCCTTCTGGGGACCTCAGCCAGCTCCGAGGGGGAGGGGGACAGGGACCTCAGCCAGCTCCGAGGGGGAGGGGGACGTAGGCTTCTCGCTCAGGACTGCCTGGCCTCCTGTTCCTCTCCTTTGCACGCCCATCAGAAGCCTGTGAGAACCTGACTTGCTTCAGAAGGACCCCCATCCCACACACGGTCCCCCCTCACAACCCCCTCCCCCGCTCCCCATCTGTGAACATAAATAGACCAGAGGAAGGAACGGGTTTTGGGGTGAGTGCTAAATGCACGGCTTGGGGACATCTCCCAGCCCCCCACACCCCGTGAATCCAGGCCGGGGTGTGGTCGCATGAGGCGTTCCTGTGCCACTAACTTGGGGGCCTGTGGGTGCTGGGACCTTTCCAGCTGCCGGTGTAGAAAGATGCCCCGGAGTGTCCGGATGGCCGACTCGAGAGCCGTGTGGATGGCGTTGCTCTCAGAGTGAACAGGCTCCACACACCTGGTGGGAAGGTGGGCTCCGGGCTGGGGGCGTGTGGGGTACCCGCTAACACAGCGTGTGCCCGCAACAAAGATCACAACCTGACTCCAGTCAGGGGCACTGACCTCATTCCCCTTAGATTGTCAAATCAAGAAAAATGACAACAGTCAACGCAACTATAGCCATCCAGTGTGCCTGGATCAAAATGATAGCTTTTTTGTCAGATCGGCCAAAAATGTATATGTTTTGGTGTAGCGCAGAATTTTAGTAATTGGTTTATGTGTGTCATGAGACATCGCTGCTCTAGAGAAAAGAGACGGGCCTCAGGCAGTCCGTGCGGGACCCCAATAAATAGCCAGGAGTAAGGACGCACAGGGCGTCCTCAGGGGGGGGTCAGAAGACCAGAGGGGTCGTGGGCTGTGCTGTCCAGTGTGGTAGCCGCAGCCGTGGCCACAGGTGCCTCACAAAATGTGGTGCCTGAATTAAGAGTAAAAACACACCGGATTCTGGAAACTTAGTATTCAAAACTAAGTTCATAATTTCATTAGTAAGTTTAATATCAGTTATATATGTGAGCAATGTGTGGATATATTGTAGTATTAAACTATTTTCCTTTGATTTTAAAAGATATATATTTATTGATTTCAGAGAGGAAGGGAGAGAGAGAGAGAGAGAGAAACATCAATGATGAGAGAGAGTCATTGATCGGCTGCCTCCTGCACGCCCCCCACTGGGGACCGAGCCTGCAACCCCCCAACCCCAGTATGTGCCCTTGACCAGAACCCGGGCCCCTTCAGTCCATATCCACTGGCTAGGGTACCTTTTCCTTTTTAAAATGTGGCCACATGGACATTTGAGGTGACACGAGCCATAATGGGCCGCTGCTCTAGACAGCTTCCAGGTCGTCCTTTGAGAGCGGCTGGGATCTGGGGAGGAGCAGGGGTTCGGGGGGAGGGGGCTCGTTTGCGGTGTCCTCTCCCGGCTGGGACTCATCCTTCTCCCACACAGACCATGGTTACCTTGCAAACCACCATGTAAAGCCATCTTTTCCGGTTTTGCTTATTGAAATAGTGACAAGGACGCCTCTCTTCAAAAAGGACTCACTTGTAGCTGGTTATAAAGTCTTGGGGAGGACCCCCTAAAACTGCTGTCGGCTGGCATCTGCGCATTTGGACAGTCGGACACCTGGCCTGTGGCCCGGAGGCAGAGCCAGCTGGGTCGGAAGACCTTCCTGTAACTCCCGCCCCGACGGCGGCCCTCGGCCCACAGAGGGGGGTTAGGCGGTCACCTCTCAGGGCTCCCGTCCTCTGGCCCGAGCCAGCATGCAGTGTCTGGAGATCCCCGTTTGTCTGAGCTACCCCTACCCCCAGGGCCCGGAGCTGGGTGCTGGGCACACGCCACCCCTGCCCCTCCATTAACCCGCTCTCCTGGCACCGTGGGTCCTCCCCTCCTGTGTGGTTGAGAGTCCCCTCGGAGGGCCCCTCGGGTCTGCGTGCCTGCCGGTCACCTCCCGTGTCTTGTTCTCTAGAACTCTCCAAGTCCCAGAACGACATGACCTCGGACAAGCAGCTCCTCAGCACGGGCCCCAGGCCGGGCGCCAGCCGGACGGAGCGGCGGAGCCAGAGTGACACGGCCATCAACGCCACCACCAGGGTACGCCTTTCCTCCAGGGACCCCTTTTCCCTTCTGACAAAGCACTGAGGGTCTGCACACAGAAGCACAGGCGCCTCTGGGTGGGGGCTGGGCCGCAGGAAGGTCCAAATTTAGGGTCGGTTTGGAAAACGGTTCAGAACAGGGATGGGCTCAGCCTGGTTCCCAGCGCCTGGGGTTCCCAGGGCCCCTCCCCCTGCCCAGCATCTCAGCTCACAGAGCGGAGCCGGGAGCAGAGCAGCTGGGCAGGTCCTGAGTCCCCAGCTCCTAACGCTTCAGTATGCGCCCGGGAGGTCTGTGTTCTCACTGACCCATCGTGGATGAGGACCCGGGCAGGGAGACGCCGGGGGGTAGGGTGGTGGAAAGGGCAGGGCCGGGCAGGGCCGGGTAGAGCCGGCCGCAGGGGCCACGCGCACGTCCCCGGGGAGAGGCACAGCACCTCTCGGGCCTGCGTGTTTCCCAGTCCCGACGTCACTGCGCGGGGTGGCATCCCCGGCATCCCCACGCGTAGCCTGGGCTTTGGATGCTGATAGAACCCGCACTCGCGGCATCCTCCCCGCTTCCTGTGCCCTGGAACGGCCTGCGGGCCATCATGCGCTGCCAGAGGGGAGGCGGGAGGAGGCAGAGGAGGGCATGGCTGCGAGCTCCCGCTGTGTGGACGCTGTCCTGCGAGAGTGTCCGCGTCGCTGCCGCGCTCTGGACATGCTGACGGCTTCCTGCAGGCGTGCTCTGTCCCCACCTCACTTGAGTGAGGGTCTGGCTGGTTTTCTGTTTGTTTATTTAATCTTCACCCGAGGGTACGTTTTCCACTGGTGTGCTGTTTGTTTGTTTTTTTGTTTGTTTTTAGAGAGGGAAGGGAGGAAAGGGAGAGAGAGAAACATCGATGTGAGAGACACATTGATTGGTGACCTCCCGAAAGGACCCCGACCAGGGCTGGGGATTCAACCGCAACCGAGGTGAATGCCCGTGACTGGGAATCAGACCCTCGACCCTGCACTCCATGTGCCGATGCTCTAACTATTGAGCCAAACCATCCAGGGTGAGGGCACAGATGTTTTAGAGGACAACTTAGCCAGTGTTTATAAAGTATGTGCCAATCATGGCATGACCTATAAACGCTAAATAATTACCGGGTTAAACTATAAAGAGTACAACCTTACATAGGACACTTGTCAGACGGCAATTACACACGCCCTGGCTGGGGAGCTCACGGAAGTTATGCCCACATTTCGTCGCAACACAGCGCCGTGCCCTCCGGGTGAGGGCTGTCGGCGCCCACGGTGCAGGCGGCCACAGCGAGGCACAGACACAGTAGCCGCTTTTCTTGAGGCCGCATGTGACTCGGGAGGTTGGATGAGAAAACGGCCAGGAGGACTGCCAGGTCACTGCATGTTCTGAGATGTCCCTGCAGGGCCCTCGTGAGCTGGGCCGGCTTCTCCAGGAAGTGAACTCTCACCTCTCCTTTGAGACTCCTGCGCAGCCCAGGGGATCTGACTGTCCGTCCTGTTAATGTGTGGGTCCTGTTAATGTGCATGTTAATGTGTGGGTGACCTGTGTGGACCATAAAAGGAGACCCATTAACCGGGAAGGGACGAAACACTCTGTAAGGAGGGGCTATGTCTGAGGAGAGGGCCGAGGACAGCGGGGGGGAGAAGACTTTATTTTGTTCTGCGCACCTGGTGCTGTGTGATGCTTCTCATGGACACCTGAAACCTACAGACCCCCCCCCCGCCCCGCCCCAGGGCCTGGCGCTTCCTGAACACCCCCACCTGCTGGCGCCACCGGGCAGGCTGACCAGCCAGAGAAGGGAGGCGGCAGCGCTGGGTTTCAACCATTAAACACTTGGACCTCAGACTGAAGGGCCAGTGACCTTTCTGATGGCCCCGGAGGGTGTCTGCTTTTCAGCTGGGACTTAGCTGGGCTCAGAGCATATATTACTGGGTGTTTCCTGGCCGTGTGGAAACACCCTCAGCCCTGGCCATGTGGCTCTGTAGGCTGGGCGTCCTCCCGTTCACCAGGAGGCTGCCGGTTCCATTTCCAGTCAAGGGCACATGCCCTGGTTGTGAGCTTGATCCCCGGTAAGGGGTGTGCAGGAGGCAGCCGATACATGTTTTGCTCTTATATCGATGTTTCTCTTTCTCTCTTCCTTTCCTTTCCTCTTCCTCTCTAAAAAATAAAATAAAATATTCTTTTTTTTAAAAAAGCGGGGAGGGGGCAACCCTCGATGCAGTCTCAGAGGCGGCAGAGGTGGCTCTCCCTTCTCTCATCTGAGATCAGGAAAATCCCAAGCACACGCACTGCGTGGCTCCATCGCTCGGTCCAAGCCAGCCTGATGCTTATGGGTCTCTGGGCACAGACGTTAGACTTGCCTCTGTGCAGGGTGGGCCTCACGCAGGGCTGCCGTTGTCTCTGTGATCTGCCCCAAACCAGGGAGCTGTGGAAATACATTACAAAGTCACTGTGGGGGGCAGGGAGCCGGTCTCAACACGCTGACCAGCTGCTCTCTGGGCCTTGGTGCTCTTGCAGAAAGGTGCTCCCTGACAAACGCATCCGCGTCCTTCAGAACTTACTGGGGCGGATGTGACACCATGTGCCAACGTGGATTCCTCAGTCAATCAAAACAGGCGGATCTTCAGAATAGGACCAACTTTCTAATAATTTCAAATATATACGTCTGCACGGATGCTTCATCACCGGCTTCCCAGGACCCGGATCTGGAAGCCAACCTTCCACACCCGCTCAGGCACAGTCCCACTAATGCCCAGGCCCGCCCCCTGGCATCAGCCCTCCCTCTCCTCTGTCCGTGGACGTGGCTCCTGCCTCCATGACAACCGCGTGTCTACTTCCTGCTGGCTAGGGAGACCTCGGAGGACAGCCTCTGCATCTCCTCCCCCTTCCCCTTCCCGCTCCTCCTCTCTCTGCCCCCAGGACGCAGGGTGGTGGGTCGGACGTGGTGTTGCTTAACACAGGTCTGATGCAATCGAGTTGATGTTCTGGGGGTTGAGGGCAAAAACAGTAATTTGGAGGTAATCTCTTCCTTCATTTGTTCTGAAAATTCTCACTTAGCTTTTCATTCCTGAAAATTGTGACTATGGTATTTTCAAGTTCTACTTCTAAAAAACGTCTCGATTCAGAAACCTTTGCATCTTCAGCTAGAAGAGTTTCCCCATCTGCCCACTGTGTTCATTGTTCTGTCCTCACACTGTCCAGTGGATCGTCCCAGCCACGGCCTCACATGGCTCCGAAGCACTTGGAATGTGTCCAGTACAGCCAAGGAGCTGAATTTAATAATTTTATTTGATATCAATGAGTTAGAACTTGGATTTAAATAGCCACATGTGGCTAGTGGCTACCATATTGGAGAGCTTAGCTGTATCCATTATAAAAGTACCCACTTTTCATAGAGTAGTCGTGTAAGATTTAGAGATATATATTTTGATTTTTCCCTTTTTTCTGAGTTAAAACTCTGCCTGTCCAGTGAATATTACATTTCATGTGAGTAAATGCCAGGGTCGTTATGAAGGCCATTTCTGTAAGACTTTCACTAATCCCTAGTAACCCACCCATAGTGGTCGTGACTACCCAAGGCTTGGTGGTGTCCGCTCAGGGCCGTGTGTGTGTGTGTGTGTGTGTGTGTGTGTGTGTGCATTTGCCCAACCAGGAGTGCGCCTGCTGGGGTTTGCCCATTACTGCCACTGGTCATAGACGCGGGCTGTACTCGCCGAAGTCGCCACATTTGAACGAAAGTGAACTGGGATGCGGACGCCGTGCTTAATCCTGTGTTTCCTTTTCCAGAAGGTCAGCGCGCCCGATATCCTGATGCCACTCAGCCAGGAGAGTCCCAAACGCGCTACCAGCCCTGTTTCCAAGCAAGGAGGCCTCTCAGCACCCCCAGCGCCCAGCTCTTCATGCTCAGGAGGCTCGAGGCGGGTGAGTCTGTCTGGTAGCGTGACACGGGGTGTGGTTGCCGTCAGCACGGAACTGCTTGGTCGGCCAAGGTGGGAGCGAGTGCTGTTTGTGGAAGGAACTGGAGCAGAGATGGCACCTGGAGAGCCTATTGACTTAGGGAGCTGGGGGAAGCCTCCCTCTCGCTGATGGCGTTTCTTTCTTACGTCGTCTCAGTGTGAACATGTTTATATAGACAGAGGGCAATTAGTAACATATAATGGTGTCTTCGGATGAGAAGTTTTCCATTTTGATGAAGTTCAATTTATCAAATTTTTCTTTTATGGCTGTTTCTCTGTCTTGGCTACTCACAAATTGTAGACATATTCTCCTACGTTTTCTTCTAGAAGCGTTATGGAAGCCTAGCTTTTATGGACAGGTCTTGATCCAACTCACTTGTTGTGAATGGTGTAAGGCAGTAGTTGGCAAACCGCGGCTCACCAGCCACATGCGGCTCTTTGTTCCTTGAGTGTGGCTCTTCCACAAAATACCACGTCGGGGCGCGCACGTACAGTGCAAAGTTGACTTAAAACTTTAAGTAAAGTTTATTAAGTTAATTTTAGGGAACGTTGTGGAGTGAAAGAAGATGTAGTGTCGAGGATTGAGAAAGGTATGTTGAGATGGTTTGGACATATAGAGAGGATGTACAAAAGGAGATAGACAAAACAAGTATACAAGACGAGTGTGGATGGGAGAGTTGGAAGGGGTCGACCTCAGCGAACGTACCTCAATCAGATTGAGGACGTTTTTAGCAAAGGCCAGCCTAGGAGTACCCTAATTGAGTTAATAACAATGTACCTATCTATATAGTTTAAGTTTAAAAAATTTGGCTCTCAAAAGAAATTTCAATCGTTGTACTGTTGATATTTGGCTCTGTTGACTAATGAGCTTGCCGACCACTGGTGTAAGGTAAAGATTGAGGTTCACTTTTTTCCTTAGAGATACTCAGTTATTCCCGCACCATTTGTTACAAAAAACCCACACCTCTCATTTCTCCGTTCACTTTGGTGGCTCCATTGGAAAAAGTGTGGGTCTTTCTCTGGCTTCTCTATCCAGTGGTCACCAACCTTTCGGACCTCACGGACCACAGTGGTCCGCAGACCACCGGCTGGCGACCGCTGCTCTATTCCGCTCACTGATCTCTGCCCATCCATCCTCATGTCAGCGCCATGCTGCCCTGATTACTGCACATTTGTTGTAAATCTTGAAGTCAGTTTATTGCTCCAACTTTCCTTTCTCAAGGTTGCTTTAAACATAGTGTCTGTTTATAGGCAGGCCTTTTATTTACTCATTTTCTTACTTAAAAGCATTAAAGAAGTGCTCACTTTATGCCTAAAATTGTGGTATATTGTAATAGATCCTTGGGTGAGGGGTCCTGAGGCCTCAAGTACAGTCAAAGCCTTTTAATTAACTAACTGATCTGAAATCATCATGAAATAATCATGAAAACTTTTAAACTTCAGAGTCCTCATCAAGGAAATGAGTATCAAAGTTGTTCTTTTTTAAAAAAAGTATGTTTTTATTGATTTTTTAGAGAGAGCGTAAGGGAGAGGGATAGAGAGAGAGAGAGAAACATCGATGAGAGAAATACCATCTATCGGCTATCTCCTGCGAGGCCCCTACTGGGGATCGAGCCTGTGCCGGACCCGGAATCAAACGGGTGGCCTCTTGGTTCCAGGGTGGATGCTCAGCTGCTGAGCTCCCCGTCCAGCCGGGCTCAGAGTTGCTCTTTTTACTTCACCGGATTGCTTGGAGAATGGAATGAAAGCAGGGGTTTCGTGCGTGATATTGTGGTTAAGAACTCAGCTTCTAGAAACCAAGCTCTTGGTTCACATTCCAGCTCCTCCTGGAACTGATCCAAAATGCTGCGCCCTTTCTGGGGAGAAGGCCCACGTCTGCATCCAGTTCCCAAACGCGTCTGTGCGTCCACGCTGGTCAGGGGCACGATGCTCTCGGACGCAGGTGCGGTTCACACGGTCCTCTGGCGGGTCCCTCCCAACTCCTGCGGAGGGCAGTCACCTGCCCGGGACACGCAGGGTCGCGTTCGGCCGCTGGGCTTGACCCTCTGCGGCTTGGATGCCCCCAGGCTGTGAGCTGGGGGGGCCCTGCCAGGATGTCAGCAGCTTGTGTTGGAGGACGCTCAGCGCCTTCAGGACCAGGCGCTGTTTGTACTTGAGAATAATTCAGGAAGATCCAGGCACTGAGGAAACACATCCCTGAGGGCCGGGGAGGCAAGGGCCGCTCTAGAACGTTCTCTCCTGGGGTGGCAGCTGTGTGGATGGAGACAGGGAGACACAGGGTGGCCTCTGAAGGCTTTTCTAAGACTCCCCGGGCCTGCCTCTGCCCCAGGTGACGAGAGACCCTGGGAGCCCAGCCAGCTTGGGCCTGTTAAGCCGATCCCCGAGGCTAAACCCTCCCAGAGAGCCGAGGGGCAGCTCTCCCTGAACTGCCCAGGCCCCACCAGCCTGGCCTCTGAGCTCCGCCCTGGGCCGGAGCCATGGCTTTCTATGCCCGGAAACCCACACACAGACAGAGACCCGCCCACAATGGTCCACGGGCCCCACACGAGCTAACCCCCCGACCCCTACACCTTCCCCCTCTGTTCACACCGCTCAACCACACGGGCCTCTCGCTGGCCCTGGACCGAGTCAGACTCACGCCTGCTCTGGCGTTTCTGGGCTGTGCCCTCTCCCAGGCACCAAGCTCCTTCACTCCCTTCCTCCAAGTCCTTGCTCCAAGGTCACCTTCGCGGGAGGTCGGCCCCCTGCTCGCCCCTGTCCTCACCTGCTCCCCACTCACGTTCTTATCACCTTCCACAGCCTGCAGCTGGCTTACCTGGTGTTTACTGTAATTGCCAAGTGCCCAGAGCAGTGCCTGACCCTTCAATGGCGCCCAGTAAATATCTGTGGGAAGGGTGCGTTCCTCCTCATCGGCGCCGCCATTTACTGAAAGCCTACTATGTGCTGACTACTGAGCTAGGTGCTCCACCTCCCAGTCCTCTCACAGCATCTCCTCGATGGGTGCTATTCTCATGCACCAACGGGACACGGAGGCTCTCAGAGGGGACCTGCAGAACTGAGTCGACCCCCAGGGGCCGTGTGAGTCGGAGCCAGGCTTTTTGTGCGACCCCATGGGATTGCTTGGCCTCTGAAACCCAGTGGTTTTCCCGAGCCCACCTCCTGGCCCAGCTGACAGCCTGGCTCCAAGGCCGCCGCCTGAGCCACTGCGATCGCGCCCTCGGCTGCTCTCGGCGATCAGCACTGAGGTTTTCAGTGTAGCTGTGGGTTCTGGCAGCGTCTTGGCTTTTGTCAAAGACAAGGGCATCGGGCCTGGCTCGCAGTCCCAGTAGATAAGTTGTGACCTTCAGAGAAAGTGCCGAGCGCGCCCTCTCCTTTGCGGGCCTCCTGGCTGTCAAGTGTGGCTTCATTCGGTCTCGCAGCCCTGCCCTGCGCCCACGTGGACAAAGGTCGCCAAGGGGAGGGATGGCGAGTCAGGCTCACCTCACGGCGCTCCTCGTCTCCACGGCCACCCGGACCCTTGCTTCCAGCTGACGTGGTGGCTCTGCGGCACCTTAAAGCAGTGCCTGTGGTTTATTCCGAGTCCCATTTGCTCCTGGCAGAAGGGTGGGTGGATGCGATTCAGTCTGGCAGCCCGCGTGGCGCGCGCGATGGTGCCAGTTTCATTATCAGAAGTTCTCGGCCCCTCCGTCCGCCCACCGGGCATCTCCGAAGCCGCCCGCCTGGGCCAGGCTTCCCGGCCATCAGCCTCCATCTTCTCGCTGTCGGCCTCACTGTCCCCGCCCCCACCACGCATGCCTGGTGGAGTCTGGACATTTGTAAGTTGTTTTCCGTTGGAGCGGCGGTGTGGGTGTTGGCAGGTGGCCTTTCTCAGAGCCGGAGGCTGGGGGTGGCGGAGTTGGTTGTGCTCTTGGCGTTAGTTAGCTCAGGCTCGGCCCTCTGATGAGTTGGTTTGGTTTTTATCTCTCTCTAGTGTGAGAGAGAAAGCCCAGGCTTGCTTCTCAGTTTCTCTCCAGGATGTTGCACAGTGTGGAGGAGCTACCTGGGAATTCAGAGAGGAAAACGATTAGAGCAGTGGTTCTCAACCTTGGCTGCACATGAGAATCACCTGGGAATCCTTTTAAAATCCTGATTTCTGGGCCTCATCCTCCAGAAATTCTGTTTCTTTGTTATGGGGTGGGGCCACAACATAGTAACAAAGAAACAGAATTTCCGGAGGATGAGGCCCAGAAATCAGGATTTTAAAAAGGATTCCCAGGTGATTCTCATGTGCAGCCAAGGTTGAGAACCACTGCATTAGAGCTCCCTGTCTCAGAGTCAGCGCTGAGACTGGCTGCATGCAAAGGGCGGCAAGTATCTAAGCACATGCAGTGGTGATGAGGCAGTTTGATTTGTCTTCTAGGCACAAGCATCTCCTTTCATGCAGCTCACCTACATCGTCTCAGCTCCCAGGGCCCTAACGTAGGATGGGTTTGGTGTTCATGTAGGTGCCCAAAAGAATGCAAACGTGATGGATGGTTGTCTTCAACTGCATACCTTCCAAACTGTATCCCACTCATCCTCGCCACAACCCTGGGAGACCAGTATTAATTTTTCCATTCCGACTTTGACACGGCTAATGAGTGGCAGAACCAGCAGGTGCATCCAAATCTCTCTTCCCGCTCCCCACGCCCCCTCTCCCTACGGCACTGAGCTCCCCACTGTGCTGCCTTTTTTTTTGGCTATTCCTGCCACGGACACATTATCTGTCCTCTGAGAGTTCCCTTTGCAGAATCACACAGGGGATAGTCCGCCTTAGCCCCCATGATTTGTGTTAAAGAATAAGACTCTGTAACCTTTGTTGCTAGGCAAAGACCAGATCTGGGCAGGACAGGGGCTTCTGAGGGTTCCCCATCCCCTTCAAACCGAATCTGCAGTGACTTATTTTGGCAAAGAACAAACTCTAGCTGTTAACTTCATGTGAGTCAGGATGCATGCTCCGTGTGAATCTTGATTTATCTGGTATCTTGAAATCAGAACTGCAAAAGAATTGATGAACCGTGAGGTAATTTATTTTATCTCTCATTTTTATTTCAGGGAAGTTTAATCAGCATTAATAGCACTTGCACGGAGATTGGCAATTTTGACAACGCTGATGTCACTGGAGAGATAGAATTTGCCATTCGCTATTGCTTCGAAACCCGTTCTTTGGAAATATGCATCCAGGGCTGCAAGAACCTTGCTTACGGAGAGGAGAGGAAGAAGAAGTGCAACCCGTGAGTTCCTTTGTCTGCGTTTTGATGTAAGATGACAGGCATATTAATTCTGAAGTTTACATGGAAAGTCCAAAATAGCCAACACAATTGTAATGTAAAGAACAAAAGGTAAAAAGACACACGTCAAGAGCCACTGTAGAGTTCCAGTCACCCCGACAGTGTGTGTTGGTGGGAGGCCGGGTAAGCAGGTTGGTAGAGCAGAATCAGAGGTCCAGACACAGACCTGAGCGTCTACGGGAAGTCACACCATCAAGGGGCTACTAGAAATCAGTGCATAAACGGTGTTGGAAAATTTGCCTTTCCATATAGGAAAAATAAAATTAAAATCCTGTCTCACACAATCTGTAAACAGATTACATTTCTCTCCGACTGATAGATATGAAATGGTGTCACGTTATTTTAACATGCGTTTCCTTGATGAGTAACAAAGATTAGCAACTATTTATATACCATCAGCCACTCAGGGCTTCCCGTCCGTGAACTTCCTGTCATCTGAATGATGGCTGAGTGGGATGCGTCGGGAATCCCTCTCCCCACACAGACAATAACGGCACTGGCAGGATCTGTCTGATGCAACTGTTTTGTAACTGGAGTCTCTGAAGGCTTGCAACTTGCAGCAGAAGGCTTCCATGGTTAGCTGGAGTTCGCATCAGTCAATGCCAGCTCTTAGCACAGTAGCAGCTACCCATCCTCCACCTCCAACCCCGTGGCGGGCAGCTGCGCACATGTTCCTAGAGCAGCTTGCACTCCGCTTTCGGAAGCCAGGGTGGGCGAAAGGATCCTGTCCTCCAGAGATCAGGGATCTGTTCTCTGATTGCTGGTTGCTGCTTCTGACCACAGAGGTGCAGACAAGGAGGCATATGGCCATTGTTGCTTCATCTCCTCCCATAGTTACACTATCTCCCCCTCTGGCTGATGTAACTTCCAGGATTTATAAGGGCCAGTGCCCTTATTTGTCTCCCTTTTTCATTTTTCTTTTTTTCCCCCCACCTGTAAGCCAGACACTATAGACCAGGACATTCACAAGTAACTGCATCACAAGAAAAATTAGAAAATAAACATGCATGCTCAGGGAAAGGTGCAGGCTCAGAAAAAAGCCTGAGTTTACATCTCAGGCTTATCTTTGGCACAGGAGCAATAAACAAAATAACAAAAGACAGAAAGCCTTGGGAAGGGGGAGAATCTGATTTCCAGAGTTAACACATTATTAGACACAAATGTCCAGTATTCAACAAAAATAACAAGACATATAAATAAACAGGAAAGTATGGCTCACTCAAAGGAAAGTAATAAATTAACCGAAACTGTCCCTAAAAAAGACCTGATGACAGGCTTACTAAACAAAGACTTTACAACGTTATCTTAAAGATGCTCAAAGAACTAGAAGGAGATGTGGAGGAAGTCAAGAAAATGATGTGTGAACAAAGTAAAAATATCAACAAAGAGAGAGAGAACCTAAATAGAAACCAAACAGAAATTCTGCAGCTGAAAACTCCAAATGAAAAATTCACTGGCAGGATTTGAAGGCAGATATGAGCAGATGGAAGAAGGGAGCAGTAAATTTGAAGAAAGGTCAACAGAAATTATTGGGTTTGAAGAAAAGAAAGAAAAAAGATGGAAACAGAACCTAAGGGACCTGAGGGCCACCATCAAGTGGACCAACATCGCAGGAGGGAGCCTCAGAAGGAGAAGAGAGAGAGCAAGGGGCAGAGAGAATATTTGAAGAAGTAGCTAAAGACTTCCCAAATTTGATGAAATTCATGAATATAAACATCAAAGAAACCCACTGAACTCCAAGTAAGATGAACTCAAAGTGACTCACCCTGAGACATAGTACTAACAAACTCTTGAACGACAAAGAGAATCTTGAAAGCAGCAAGAGAGAAGCAAATCCTCAAGCTATTCAGCAGATTTCTCATCAGAAACTTGACAGGCCAGCAGGCCAATGTATTCAAAGTGCTGATCTCTATATATAAAAGCCTAAGCGACCATGCGACTGTTGAACTGACCCATCAGTAGCTCTGACGTGCAATGACCACCAGGGGGAAGATGCTGTGATTGGTAGCTATGACACACACTGACCACCAGGGGGCAGACACTCAATGCAGGAGCTTCCGAGCTGTGGTGACTTGGCAGCTGCGGTTCTCAGATGAGGCACCCAGAGCCAGAGAGGAGGGAGCCCAATTCTGGGGTGCATCACCCAAGCACCACCCTCTCGCAATCTGGGACCCTGTTGGGGGATGTTAGAGAGCTGGTTTTGGCCTGATCCCCAACGGCCAGGCTGAGGGACCCCACTGGTGCACAAATCCATGCACTGGGCCTTTAGTATATAATAAGTACCTCCTTGTTAGTAATTACTTTACATGTACATGAATCAGACTCTCCAATCAAAAGACAGAAATCAGCAGAGTGGGTAAAAACATAGGATCCAACCATATGTCATCTATAAGAGACTCACTGTAGATCCAACAAATAGAAGATATTCCATGCAGATAGTAACCAAAGAGAACAGGGGTGGCTATACTAGTATCAAACAAAGTTAAATCAACAAGGTTACAAAGGATAAAGGACATTATCCTATATAATAAAAACCTAATATGCTAAGGGTCCGGTCGTCCATTTGTCTGTTCAACCAATCAAAGCGTAATATGCAAATGATACGCTAAGACCGCTCAACCACTCGCTATGATGTGCACTGACCACCAAGGGGCAGATGCTCCGACTGGTAGGTTAGCTTGCTGCTGGGGTCCGGCCAATTGGGACTGAGTGAGAGGGGCTGGACATGCCCTGGAGCCCTCCCACGGTCCCTCCCCAGCTGGCCAACCTCCTGCGTCCCTCCCTGGTCCCGATTGTGCACCAGTGGGGTCCCTTGGCCTGGCCTGCACCCTCTCGCAATCTGGGACCCCTTGGAGGATGTCAGAGAGCTGGTTTCGGCCCGATCCCGCAGGCCAGGCCGAGGGACCCCACTGGTGCACAAATTTGTGCACGGGGCCTCTAGTATACTAATAAAAGTTGTAATGCAGCAAGAAGATATAAAAAATATAAATGTTTATGCACCTAATAACAGCCCATCAAGACATATGAAGCAAAAAACTGACAGAGTTGAAGGAAGGAGTGGACGGTTCCACAGTAATCCTTGGAGATGTCCATCCTCCGCTCTCAGTAACAGAACAACCTGCCAGGAGAAAAGTGAGGAAACAGGACTTAACATCATAAGCCAGTCAGATGCATGGGTGTGATTTTGTTTCAGCCCTTTAAGCTGTGCAGGTGTATCTCATACACCCTCTTTCATGTGTGTGGGATCTGATGATCAGCAAGTTAAAAGTGAACAGTGAAGATTGGTGCCCGCGACCTGGAGTTCTTTCCCAAGAACTCTGATTGACAGGGAAGAAGAGGCGGAGCCTGGAGCTCCAGGGGGGACCCAGATGAAGGGAGGGCGACTGCTCTTGGCTTTGGGGAAGTTGAGCCTGTTCCTAGCCTGTGGGAATAGGTGCCTGGTCAAGGGGGGTCATTGCCATGGACAAAGCTGCCAGAGGAGCCAGGGAGGAAAGTCTCCGGACCTGGGTAGAGGGACCAACCTAGAACAGGGTTTCAGGGGGGCAGAGGGCTGGTGGAGGTGGCCTGTCATGCTGCCCGCCAGCTACGCTGCAGCCCCCAGAGACGGCAGCGGGCTGGTCTGCAAGTCAGGAGGACAGGCTGGAGGCCCCGCAAGGGAAGAGCCAAGTGTAAGGCCCACACTCCCCATTTCCACGTTTCTGTGGGGGTGGGGGGTTGGCTGGAGTGACAGGTGGGGGAGGACAATTGGCTCGTGGCCTCTGCATCCAGAGTCCAGGAGTTTTCCCCCCTGGAGCCCCCCCTTCCCCAGAGCCTGGCAGGTGGCACCCACCCAGACACACTCCAGGGGCGATGGCCGCAGACTGTGTGAACAGAAGCGGCGTCCCCAGCCTGGCATTGCTCACTGTTCATGGTGGCCCCTGACCCTTCCTATCAGCGCCCAGCTCAGCAGCAGGCAGGGCAAGGACTCCCGCTCCCGCCTCGCCCAGCCTCACCCCGAGCCTCACCCGCCCTGTCTCCTCCAGGTACGTGAAGACCTACCTGCTGCCTGATAGGTCGGCCCAGGGCAAACGCAAGACAGGAGTCCAGAGGAACACGGTGGACCCGACCTTCCAGGAGACCTTGAAGGTACTCCCTGGACAAACGTTCCCCTGCGGAGTCTCCCGTCCTGGGCGGGCACAGGGCCAGAGTCCACGACGGCTCCTCCACACCCTGAGTCAGTCCAACAGGAGGGCAGACACTGCCGATGCCCGCGGGGCTGGCAGTCGGGGCACGGCTGGGTCACCCTTCAGCCTGGGCGGGAGAAGGGCAGAGTCCTCGGGACTGTCCGTGAATGATTTCCGAGAAAATGGTGGAAAAGAACCTGGCTGCCCCTGAGCTTTTAAGACCAGGTCGTCCTGGCGAGTGTTTGTAACTCTCAGAGCACTCGCCGGCCAGCGCCTGTACCCTTGGCGACTGGGTCACCGGCTGCAAAAGTGCCCCCTTATTGCAATGTCTGGAAACCCAGCATTCTTCTTCTTTTAAGAAACAGCGTTTATAGAGGAATTGTTTGGATTTTCACCTTCCTCGGTGCTAAACATGATTTGTGTTTAGGGCAGGGACAGGGAGACTCCTCACACTGGGGGTGAGGAGGGAGAGGGGATGATGTGTGAGGCACGCAGGTTAAGTGTGGGAGGCCCCGCACCGAAGGACAGTCCAGACTCACAGAAAGTACCCATGGAGGCTGAGCAGCCCCGGGACCCCGTGTGCCAGGACTGGAAAGGGGAGGGCTTGGCCTGGCTGCCTGCTGAGAAGGGGCATTTGTGCACTCCCAGCGGGGCCATCCGGCAGCTGGCACGAAGCCCTGTCTGTTAAATATTCATGCTGCTGTTCTCTGTGCCCCTACTGTGGGCATGTGCTCTATGTGCCCCCTGAGCTAAGGGTTAGACTCGCGTCTACCAATGGGGAAACGGAGGCTCATTGAACCCACAGTGGACTAGCCGTCCTTCTCAAAACTGATGTGCCCAGGGGTCCCCAGGGACTGCAGAGAAAGCCGGCTGTGACAGCAGGTGTGGGTGGGGCCTGAGATGCTGCTGTCAGACGCTCCTAGCCAGTCCCCGGAGACTGGTCTTCAGATGGCTCTGCTCGCGGACCTGCTGCAGGAGTCGGCAAAGATCTGTCTCCTCACACATCCCAAGTCGATGTCTAAAACTGCTTCTCCGTGTCACTAAGGTGTTTTTTGCTAGAGAGAGGTAGACGCGTATTTTACATTTTATGAAATGAGATCAAATTGAGGATGGACTACATTTTAGATACATATTTAATTGTATAATTTGATTTTTAAAGTTTAACTTGTTTAAAATGCACGCAGAAGCTCAGAGAGTCACCTAACGTTTTATGCGCTGGTTTTACCCAGCGTATTGTGAGTGCTCCGGTGGTGCCGGAGAGCTTCTGGGGACATTGAGAAGATCCAGTCCCTAATCTAGCCTAAATCAGAGCGTCCGGACACAGTCTTGACAGAAATGCGTGGAGAAGCTGAGCGATCATGAAGAGTTCTGCAGAAATCAGTATTTCCAATACCGTTCGTTCAGCACACGGCGGGTCGCACATCCTGGGGCCAGGTGCCAGATCCGGGGTGTAGGAGCCGCCTTCCGCCAGTTTTGAGGCTCTAGAACAGTGGTTCTCAACCTTCTGGCCCTTTAAATACAATTCCTCATGCTGTGACCCAACCATAAAATTATTTTCGTTGCTACTTCATAACTGTAATGTTGCCACTGTTATGAAGCGTCATGTAAATATCTGATATGCAGGATGGCCTTAGGCGACCCCTGTGAAAGGGTCGTTCGACCGCCAAAGGGGTTGCGACCCACAGGTTGAGAACCGCTGCTCTAGAAGTTGAGGCGGCTGCAGGTGTCCGTGTGGCACGTGGGCATGCCCAGGAAACCTTGGGCCCAGGTGACTGTGCGCACGGGCCAGGCTGTTAAATAGCAGCGTTCGCCCTGGCCGCGTGCGCAGGTGGTGGGAGCAGCGTCCCAGTGCGCCCAGGTTGCAGGTTTGATTCCCAGTCAGGGCACAGGCAGCGTTTCCTAAGCGGTGGGGCGGGGCGGGGTGGGGGGACAAGGGAGCCCTCTCCTCGCCTCTTCCTGGACATCCACCCCCCACTGAAGGGAGGCCCCGCCACCTGGGCCCGGGCCGGGCGAGCAGCCCTGGAGCGCAGGCTGACCTCTCCATTCCGTCCGCAGTACCAGGTGGAGCTGGCCCAGCTGGTGACCCGGCGGCTGCAGGTGTCCGTGTGGCACGTGGGCACGCTCACCCGGAGGGTGTTCCTCGGAGAAGTCATCGTCCCTCTGGCCACGTGGGACTTTGCAGACAGCGCCACACAGTCCTTGCGCTGGCACCCGCTGCGGGCCAAGTGATGTCAGGTCGGGACTGGGGCCCCCTCCCACCGGGAGCGCTTTTCCGAGGGATCCGAGAGGAGAGGACCCCCCAAGAAACCTTGGGCCCGGTGACTGTGCCACGGGCCAGGCGGTTCAGTAGCAGCGTTCGCCCTGGCCGCGTGCGCAGGTGGTGGGAGCAGCGTCCCCGTGCGCCAGGGTTGCAGGTTTGAGTCCCAGTCGGCACACATACAAGTCTCAGCCAATGAGCATAACTAAGGGGAGCAACAATTCTCTCTCCCTCTTTCTCTCAAATCAATAAAAATAAACAGCAGCTTTCTAGGGAGAAAAGGCTCCGTGTCAGACTCGTCTGTGGGCTCGGTCAAGGGACTTGCACCTGCTCAGGTTCGTTCGGGACCCGAGTAGCCCTAACCTGTGTCACCCAGTGCCAGCCTGGGTCCGGCCAGGGCCCAGCCCTTCCTCCAAGGCCGGGTCACTGGGTGTCAGCTGGGGTGGCCTCAGCCTCCTCAGGGCTCGGCCAAAGTCCACGCCCTGTGCCTGGCTGCCCACGGGCGGGGCCCAGCTCAGGCCTTTGGGTGTGTTGTTCCTAAACTCCCCAGGCACGCCCCT